ATCATTCGCATGCATGATTAAAGGAATTTGCTATAATTTTTTTAATTGCACAAGGTTTTCTTCTTTCGATTTCTAATTTATTCGTTATGTGTGCTTGAAGTTCTTAGTGCAAAAGAAACTTAAGATGAAACTTTAAAGAATTAATCCAGTGGGTTGTTCTTTCCTCAAAACTTATTTCGTCAATCTTATTCCTATACTGGTGTAAGTGGAGGAGCCCTTTCATAAAAAGGTGGTACAATATTATTATTTTAAGGAAACATAAATGCATATACAAATGATGATGCAAATTGTGATGTATCAATATAGGTGCAATGTTACATAAGTTAATATGCAATCACATTTAACTATTTGTGTATTATGAAAAATAAAATAAGAAAACTTAATTATTAATTGATGGTGATATTGTTATTTTTAAATGTTATCTTTTAAAATTTTGGTAAGTTTATGTATCGTGTCACTTTTTTAGTGGTTAAATATAACGCGACTATACCCTCAAAATGGCCAATGGAACCCTAGAATTTTCTAAAAAAATAGCTCTCAATTTATCAGCTCCCAAAATGAGATGCACTTCGATGTGAAAAAAAAAATTTCAAAATAAAATTACCAAATCACACATATGGAAGACAGCTACATTAATTAATTTTAAGCTTACAATTACCTTTTAAGAAATGGTAATTTACGTACGGTCGTGGTGCAGTCACGTAGTTACAAAATAAATTAAGAATCGTTATTAATCATTAAAATAAGAATCATTTTCAGAATGAAATACACCCTTATACAATCGTTAGAATGATTTTCTTTAAGGAAAATTAGCTGAATTTGTATTTTATTTGATAAAAATCAACTAGAAAGCACACTTATTTCCTTAACCAATTATTACAGGAGACAAATCACACATATGATACATACACACTCTCGACGCTTTGTACATTATACATCGACAAACACATAGCTGAAAAGATTATCACATCTCCCAAACATGAACATATATATTATATACCAAAAGAAAAAAAAAAGGAAAAAGAAGAACAAAAACAGTCTTAAATTAATGGGTTATATGATTCGGATCCCAAGATGCTTGAGAGCAAAGTCTTTGAGGTTGTTGATTTCGTGGTCGTCGATGTATCCGTTGCCGTCTTTATCCGCCGACTTGAGTCCATCTTTGCACTTCCTAGTCGCAAAGAAGCCTCCCACGGCTCGGACCGCCTCCCGGAGTTCTGCTTGAGTAATCCGTCCGTCCTTGTCGGAGTCAAACTTCTTGAGCCACTTCTTGAACTCGTCAGGTCTCATCGGAACTTTGCCGTCGGTGGATATAGTTGGCCGTTTGCGATTTACCACAAGCATGATTTTGTATGTTAGAAAGTAGGGTAACTGCGTACTGTGTACTAAACTTACTGATTAACGCGACCACTATGCCGAGGATATACATTTTCTCTTTTATTTATATAACAGTTTAACATTGGTATACAAATCAACTTTTGTTTTTTTTTTCAGAAAAAAGGAATAAAGGGTACATATTAACTTTCTGCTGTATTCCTAGCTACGTTGCCAATAATTAGTGGCTATACTAGCTAGGTTTCTCGGGTAAGCCTAAGTGGTTAAAATTAAATCATGATATATTATTTTATTTAAGAATAATAAAACTCTATATAAAGTTATCCGCTACACTTTTTTTTAATTGCGCGGGTATAATTGAAGATATCAAATTTGATTTTTGAAACTCCTGTAATTAAGAACATTAATACTTGTTCTGTAACTAATATAGTACTATTCGTTCTTTTGACATAAAAGTTACGGCTATCATATTCATGTGGTAGAACAAACAGAACTCGGAATAAAAGCAGTACTACTAATTTTCAAAATAGAGTGCAATATACTTGGGACACCGTGTGCAATATAAAAAAAAATAGAGTCATTGAAATACGATTAACATGTTCTTAAATATGGGAACATTATTATTTAAATTCAAACCAGCATTCGGTGAAGTTAACTTCAACATGTTGGGTTGCATTTGCATCGAATTATCGTTCGTTCAGTTGATCTGAAATCAATACTCTGTATTAAACAATGTTAAAAAAAAAAAAGAGAAGAAACTGTTGAGATTCGTGGATAGATTCTAAAAACAGTGATAGAACACTTGATGAGGTGGATTTCAAACACATGGAATTTAATTTTGTGAGTCGAAATTACGTTTCGATATATTAATTATTTCATCGTAAAGCCACTTGTTTAATAGACCAATTTGCCATTACATGTAGAAGAAGAGAATTACTTATTGAAACAGGAAAGCTAACAACGCAACTAGCTCTAGCTTTGGTACAGTTACAAAAGGTATTCTAAGTTACTGGCCAGATGTTCGAAGTCGATAATTAAGTAATTAATTCTCTAACCCTCCCCACCTCCCCCCAAAAAAGAAATACTTTACAAAAACAAAAATACCTTGCATGCCTGCATGGCGATGATGGAATCAGGTACTGTTGTACCAGTTAAGATACTCCCTCCGTCCTATAATTTTATTTTTATTTTTAGTCAAACTTAACTATATTTTACCTTGAACAACCGGATATATCCCTACATAAGTAATTGTTTAACCACAAAGATTTTATGGATAATGTTTTTTACTAAGGACAAATGTGTAACTTGATCCATAAAAAGTCAAATTGGACAATAATTTTGGAACAAAATTTTTTAGGCAAAGTGGACAATAATTATAGAAAGGAGGGAGTATATTTTTATAAAACAGTTCTACTAATAAATCCCAAAACATACCACATGCACCAGACTATATATATATATATATATATATATATATATATATTAAATTGAAAAAGACTGTGAAATGGAGGGTGAATGGCGACTTTCTTTGGGAATAAGAATCAATGTGGATATAGTCTAGTCTACAACTTGTTTCACAAGATGAAGGGCAATTATAGTTTCTTCGGAACATCTGATAAAATTGGACCAAAGGATCAATGTGGATGTAGACATGTATAGAGTCTGGTTTACAACTTGTCACTTGTCACACACAAGATATTAAACGGCAATAACTATCCAGATTAAATATACTTGCCGCCCTCGCACTTACAATCAAAAATAGCCTAATATATTAAATTATCAAGGTTGATTCAATTGGATGGGGGTTAATTCAAAATTACTTAAAAGAGAAAAGAGCATAAAAGATCGGTGGGAAATCGGATGAAAGATTCTTCGATGATCTTTTGATACAATACTTTTTATATCATGTCTAAATATTCAATTATTTATCCATTGTACTTAGTTTACTTAAGTTTGCTAATGAACAAGGCGGACAGAATACCCCCCTTAAAGTAGGAACATAGGACGGTATGGTTCCAACTAGCTATAAAGAGTTTTGTTACTTGGTATAGTATTTTTCTAGTCTAAAAATAATAATCTACTTTCATTTTTTTACTTTTAATATTACCTAAAATTTGTATTAAAACAAAAATTTAGATAGGATGATGATTTTTAGATGGGAAGTAGGACACTTTTAATATTTTCTTTCTTTCCTCTCCGAAAAGAAGTTTAATTGAGTGTTTGGTCCGGATCCAATAAACATACTTTTAGGCATAGGTTCTCGATCGATAGGTTAGATTAATGGAAAATGTACATCGAGAAAGGAGAGATGGAAAAGAAAAGAGAATGTTAGGCATAATAATTAGTCGTACTATATTTAAAAAAGAAAAGAAAAGAGACAGTGAATTGTGACTCCTCGTCCAAAATGATTTATATTAGATTTTCTTCTAATACTCCTCGTCTAAAATAATTGACCAGTTTAAATTTTCTTTTTTTAGTTTAAATTTTACTAATAATAAAAATTCAAATTGAAGAATAATTTTTAAACAGAAAGAGTATATTTTACGCATACATGTACTTCATAAATTGATATTCCTAACTACAATAACTTATAACGTAGTATTTAATTTTAATCGACCATATAATTGAAAGAATAAAGTGAATTATTAAAACCGTTTAAAGAGAGTATTATATATGTATATATATATACAAACACACATACATATATATATATATATATATATATATATATATTTACAGAATCCAATGAAGTTCCACCTCAAAACCAATTGGTTATGAGGGGAGTAGTTCGTGAAACTTATATATTGATATTTAGAGTCTCCCAACACCGATGTGGGATAGGGACTCTTTAATACTCCCCTGCAAGCCCAATGTATTTTTTGGGTTGGGCTTGTCCTATTTTTTCAGCCCAAGCACCGCCTCACGTCTCAACCCTATTTTTTTGTTGGGGTTTTTGGAGTCCAAATGTCGGTGGGCTGGCTCTGATACCATACAGAGGTCCATAGAGCCTCAAAATCAATTGATATTCAGAGTCTCCCAACCCCGATGTGGGATTAGAACTCTTTAATAATATTTACTTTAATTTTTCTCTCACAATGTTGGTTCCCTCAAGTTCGGATATTTTTATATTCTTACAACGAAGTTAAAGATTTAAGTTTTCGATTTACGAATATCCCGAGTAGCTGCATTGTCATATCTAAAGCATTTGTAGTTAAGTCGTACATTTTTGTTCAATGTAATTTGGAGATGGAATTTGTCGTTATATGTTACTTAGAAAACTGGTACACTTACATCAGCAGCCTAAAGTTCGCCGTCTTATTTCGAAACTTGAAAAACAGTGCTCATGCATGCAGGGAATTATTTGCCACTTCATTTTCGTAAATTTCGCCCCGGAGCTAGGGTTTGTACAAATTTCTCAAGTAATTTTAACATCTCACCCCAAAAGCTGTTTTCAGCTCATTATTGTTTGTTTTAGTAACATCTTCCCTCCCTCTTTACCTTTGCAATCTCTCTAAACTAAACGTCAGGGTTCTTATAACGACCAAACTGAAGATCAGCTAGTGAAAAATATTAACTATTTTATCTCTCGAGAGAATTTAGACTACAATCAAAGTTCTTATTTTGGCACGCACGTATAAATACACTAAAAACAAAATGCAAAGAATGCCCAAAACATATTAATAATATAGAAGTGCCTTTCTGTTCAAATTAAGGCACGAGTAGCCGGATTCACGATCCAAAACTACTAAGTACAAAACACACAACTGTAAAGAATAAAAACCTATATATAAAACGTTCTTTCTTATTGGAAACTGAAAGCACTAGATACACATATGACATATAACCATACATATTCATCCAACCTATTTGACAGTGTAACCAAATTGAAGGGCATATTTGACGAGCTCGACGAGTTCATCTTCACTGATAACTCCATCTCCGTTTGCATCCGCGTGCTGTAGGCTGCGGGAAGCTCTCCAACCCGGTAGAATCGCGCCGAGACGTTTGAAAGCCTCCTTCAACTCACTCTTGTCTAAAAGGCCATCTCCATTCTTGTCGTACTGCTTGAATAAGCCTTTCAGCTTTTCCTTGCTCACCGCCATCGTCACGTTTTTATGATTCACGATCGGCATTTGTTTTCTAATGGTAATCAAGCTAGTTTCTGTAGCTAATAAGTGTAAGATGATGTTTAGATAAAGCAAATTAATCTGCAATAATGTTCTTTTTTTTTGTGTTGTTTTTGCCTTTGGTGGGAGTAACTTAATTTGGTCCATAAATATGGGCGTATTTATACTGTGAAACTATTACATACGAAGTCTCTTGTTCTTATAGATTCTAATTTATCTGTTTTCTCAGATATTTATTCAAAGAGTTCGGTACACAAGAATCTAATCCAAATTAATCGATGCACAAAGACTAATCCACTTCAATTCCCCCTTTGATATAATCTTTGAAACTTTGGAAATATTCTTTTAACATTTGCTTGAAATGACTATTCGGGCTGTGTAGTATTTGTATTGGTCGTAAACGAATGTTGTGGAGATGATATGGTCACAAGTCACAATAAAGTCCCTTTTGGATACACATGCTGAAGAAAGTGTTTTCCTTTTTTCCTTTTTTTTTTCTTTCCAATACTATGTTCTATTTACTATTATTTTTAACAGTTTTAATATGTTTCTTAAGTTTTTATTGAAACAAACGCTAGCTAGTTAGATATTTCACGCAAGATGATTTTTTGAGGTTCAGCCGTTTTGATAGATTTGGACAAGGAATAGTATGGTTGTACTTCTTACGGCCCGAAATCTATTGTTTACATATTTTTCACATTTTATACAATTTGTAATAAGGAAAAAAAAATTAAATTAGATATTCATTTCAGGAGGAAATAATAATTTGTGTTTCTCACCAACATAATATGATTCAATGATTTAGGTTAAGTTTCTATTACTGTATTAAAAAAAATTGCCTTCTAGTTATAGGATACGACACCATGCATATAATAAACGGATTAAGGTTGCACTATGGCTAGGGAGAAGTTGTAAAGGAAAACAATTAGGCCAAATTTGAACTCCCATATCCCTAATCATCAATCAATTAACCCAAAATCATCTTCCCTTCCAAGTTTCAGTGTAGTACACACGCATTTGCTCGATCGAATATGTTCCTTAATTAATTCTTCTTCTTAATCGTACTGAGTCTCCGAATAATAAAATTATGTTCAACAAAATAAACCATTTCGAAATGAAGAAAATACATAAACATAAAGTCATTTCATTAACTGCCCATGGCTAGCAAGCTGGTTGGAAAGAGAATGACGTATTCTAAATTTTCATGTAGCTAGGGAGAAGAGAATAATTTTACATTGGCCATCATGAAATTAACGCAAAATATTTTAAAACGCAAAACATTATTCCAAATTTTAAGGAAAAAAACGAAAATATTTGAAGGAAAAAAAAAAAAAAGTGGCAAAAACATCATTCCAAGAAGGATCAAACAAACAAATCTTCAAATTTATTTTACCAGAACATTTGAATTACTCGTTGGTAGCCTTAAGTCACCCAGTTCCAAGCTAGCTACATTGCATGTGGATCATAGTCCTTCACTGTTTTTATTCTTCCAAGTACATTTCTCCGCGGATTCCCGTAGCTTCCCTAGCTAGTTTGAAATATTCCCAATGTCCCATTTGGATAGTAAAATTTGTTCAAATAATTGAACACAATACAACAAAGAAATGCTATTAAGATTGGGCGAGGGAGTAGTACAGTACAACAGAATATAGTTCAGTTATTAACATTAGATTTAAATCTCAATGACTATCTCTAGTCGATTGATATATTAAGGGAAATATATTAAGGGCACAATGATTAGTCGCTTGATATATTTCACCGGATGACTGTGTCTAGGACTCAATCTATATATAGTACCACTATTTGGCAGTGTCTCCAGATTGAATGGAAAAGTTTGCAACTTCCCATTACGATAACGGTCAATATGAAGGATTTTAAACAAGATCGATCGTCTCTAACAAAATACAAAATCATAACAAAACCAAAAAACTTAACACATAATGCAAAAAGGCAGACCAGAATACTAATTCACAAGTGCCTTTTGAGTTCAAATTAAGGCACAGAGTTCATACATGCAATATTTTCTGGTGGAACATACAAGTGGGCATGGATTAAAAAAAAAAAAAAATCCAATCTATTTGACAGTAAAACCCAATTTGACGGCGTATTCGACGAGTTGATTGAGCTCATCTTCACTGATAAATCCATCTCCGTTTGCATCCGCATGATGGAGGCCGCGACCAGCTCTCCAACCCGGTAAAATCGAGCCGAGTCGCTTAAAGGCTTCCTTTAACTCATTCTTGTCCAATAGCCCATCTCCATTCTTGTCGTAGTACTTGAATACGCCTTTCAGCACTTCCCAGCTTGCCGGCATGGTCACTATTTTGATTCTATGATCAACAATAAACGCCATTTCTTAATGCTACTATGATATAGCTACACCGGCGTATGATGATGAATGATGATAGCAAAACTTACAACAAACAGACCATATGGCCGTATTTATACTATGAAACCATATAGTTTTCTTTTTGTCCCAAAATAAACAATACTCATTGTATATTGTAAATTGTATTTAGAAATGGTGGCGTTTTTAATTTACTTTATGAATTATTTCTATAGGACAAAGAGTGTATCAATTATTGCCCAGTCTCTGTGCTGAATCGATTCAAATTTATCTGTTTGATTGCTTCTTTATTCCCAAAGTTGGATTCTAGAATCTAATTCCATGTCTATGCGCCATAACCATTATGCAACAGAAATCTAGGCATAAGAATCAACATTTTCTTTTATGTAGAGATACTAATTATTTTGCTTTTTCTTCAAGTAACTTTCGCATGAAAGGATTCGTGGTGCTGTATTATTGTTTAGTGGAAGTATACGAATACAATATTTTTAGACTCGAATGAAAGATGGTCTTTTATTTGTAATGATTAATAATAAAAGTATCACTTCTAATGATGAATGAAACTATTAATTAATATATATATGTATGTGTGTGTGTGTATATATATATATATATATATATATATATATATATATATATATATATATATGGTGCCCACAAAGTAGTTACGGTTGTAGCCTTTAATCTTATTATCTTCTTTCAAATTTTCTCTCATTGAGAAATAATTAAATCAACATAGTACTTTAGGAAAAGTTTTGGTTAATATAGGCCGGTTAAATCAATGCAAGTGTCGGATTTTTATCGGAGATATAAACGGGAAAGACTTGATTTTTGATATTATTCATTCTTTCATAACCATGAACACCTCGACCTAAACAGTCACGCACCCATAATTGTATTCGGGGAATAAAGAATCAGCATAACTGAGTTTGATTTATAATTGGAAATGATGCATACACATTTTTTGGTTATATTGGGTAAGGCGGCTGGATAGGAATATATAGCGCGCAACATACATCATTTTAAGATAAACAATTTGGCCCAATTTGATTCCAGGACTTTTGGTTATATAGTTATAAAAGGTTTAGTTAAATTAGTTTTTCTTTTTCGAAAGAAATAAAAGGTTTTTGTTTTTTCAGTACAAAGAAATAAAAGGTTTTGCTTAATTAAACACTTCTTCAGTGCTCTCGCAAATCCCAAAAATTAGTGCGGTAATTAACCCAAGTGGACCGCGTACAATATCTCAAGTGTGAGAGTATGATTCATACACGATTATAATTTCCAAAACAAACAATTAAAAATCAATAACTAACTGTTTTTACGTTAAAGATATAGCTCATCGATCACCGGTCAACTTATCTTTGAGAAATCTAACCTTCTTAAACCCTCAAAATATTACTCCCTCTGTCCCAAAATTATTGTCCATTTTGAGCTTTCATGTTTAGTTCAAATTATACTAAATGTGAAATCTCAAACGGGACAATAATTTTGGGACGGAGAGAATACTATTTTTTTCTCCTTTTCTACATAAATAACGCCTTTTCTTAGCAAGTAACAACATAAATTGGCTGAGGAACCTTCTTAGTTATAACCTTCTCACTAACAACATAAATCAGGTTAGCACTTTCTTTCAATAACATAAGTTGAAGTTACTTAAAAAGTGGGAGGTTCACGGACTTCAATTCCAATATCCTACACCTGTAAAAAAATATATATATACATATATAGTTAAATATATATATATGTGTGTGTGTATATATATATATATATATATATATATATATATAGTTGATCTAACGTGTATGTACCAAAAAACTTAGCTTCTCTGCCTAAATTGAAACAATTTTTTATGGTTTAAGAGATAGTGCACATCTTGGGTTGCAAGATATTGAGGTTCAGATTGAGAATAAAAGTATTGTCGACTTACTTAATCAAGGTATGATTTATCTGTGACAGTATGAGACATTCTACCGGCGGCAGGTTGGATGGCTCAGCTGGGTCGTATCCGGGCATCCCACTTCCAAGCTTTTCTGGGTAACATCTGTATCCGGGGATTTCGACTACGTAAAACGAAGTGTTGAGTTATGATGAAGCCGGATTTGCGGCAGTATAGTATGATGATGATGATGATTTTAGGGCATGAGTGAGTATACATATTAACTTAATTTCTGTTGTATTCCTAGCTGCGTTGCAAATAATTAATATGGCTACAGTAACTTTCTCAGTTAAGCCTAGTGGTTGAAAATCAAATCATGATATCTTATTTTATTTTGAATTTTTTATGTCGTTTTATTTCGAATAATAATAATCTTTTTAATGTTATCTACAACAATTTCTTTTTATTCTGCAGGTATAATTGACGACGATATCAAATTTATATTTTGAAACTCAAGTAATTGAGAATAGAAATACTTTTTCAGACACTAATATAACTATTGGTTCTTTTAAATAAAATTTACGTTTATTTTATTCACATGCATGGACAGTGACAAATTCCATATAGATTCTAAAACAGTAAAGAACACTTAGATGCGGTGTATTTCAAACATGTGGAATTTAATTTTGCGAGATGAAACTGCACGTCGATTTATTTTTAGGGCTCTGTATTTGAAAGTTTCAACATAAAGCTCATAAATAGACCTATTTGTCATTATATATACAGCGAGAATTATTGAAACGTGAAAGCTAACAACGCAACTAACTAGCTCTAGCTTTTGCATTGTTACAAAAGGTATTCTAAGTTAATGGCTACACTCAGCCGCCATACAGCCAACAGCTGTTGGACAACAATTAAAATGATAGAGTGCTAAGGAAAGAAAAGTAATTAA